TTTAAATATTATTCCTAATTTTGTCTTGTAAGTCAAATGTTTGTCCTCTGATATCATTTTCTCATAGTTTTCAATTTTAACAGTATGAGCGGAAAGTTAATTTTTTTTGAAATATCACAAAGAACTGGGAATTATTCATACTTATTTACAATAAAAAGTCCCCAGAAAGTTACGCTCTCTGTCACATAACTTACCAATCTTATAGATTTTGGATGAAGATTTGCAAATATCTCATTTTTAGTGCACTCTGCACATTGGAAGAAGAAAAACTTACTTCGGATTATGATAGCTAACAAAAAAATAGATCATATAGAAATCGTAGAAACGGGTTTCAATGAAAAAACAATCAAAAGGAAGGATTTGACAAAATTTTTGACAAACTTCCTTCATTACTAACTTATGCAGAAACATTCAAAAAAACATGCAATATTTTTGATGAATGCACTATAGAAACTGAAAGTGAAGACATTGAATGAATTTCTCAGAAATTTTGTGTTGACTAGCCTTTTGTACTTTTGTAACCTCCTTGTACTTAATTTGTTTCAAATTTGAGAGAAATGAACAAACAATATCCGTATGGTGATTCAGTTCGATACAGAATATCATGTATGGTTTTTTTCTAAACTCGAAGATATTTAGACTTGAAGCAACTTCTACTACAAGATTCTGCTTGATATGTGGAAGCTTCTACACAAAAAGGGCTTGGATAATGTCATTTTGTGCCTACACTTCGGTGTTCATATTTTCCAAATTTTTTGGTCGTGTGACAAGCTCACTTTGTTTCCATAAGCTAAAACATTTTCTTTATCAAAATAAGCATTGTTCGATCATTGTTGTTCATTTTCACAAAAAATAGAGAAAACAATTGAAACCTTGAGTCTGGTTGTATTGGTTAATAATTGCGCTGAAAAGAAAAATTTGGAAGAAGTAGGAATTCATTAAGATGAACAATGCAAGGGGCATTCCTAAACTTTTCCAAAAAACTCAAATTGTGTGTACAAAGCATCTCCTTGGAATCAATTGGATAAGCGAACACGAAAAATATACAGAATTTGTAAAAACATTTAGAACAATTAGTAGCCTCAGAATCAAAATTTTTTCAAAAGTTATAAAAAATGTAACATTTTGTAAAACATTTTGCAAATAAAGATAGAAAACATGGATCTCTACGTTGGCCCAGAAGTTTGAATTTTGATAATCGAAGACAAAGATTATCAATAGAGGTGAAGCAACTACACATTTCTTCGTCCAAAAACTTTTCACTGTGCTGAATGAAAAACATTTGCTTACAGATCAAAAATATGATGATTTTTTAACTAATCAATATAATTTTTTGTAAGAACTAATTTAAAATTTAGTTTTGATGACATCATGTGCGATCATTCGAATAATGTTATCCACAACGCGTGAAGAAACGACAGTATGGGTAGCCAGTATTGGGTATGTGGAAAGAAACGACAACTGCTTCATTTTCAGATGTAAATAAGCTAACGAGTGCAAAAAAAGTAGTTTTCTAATTCCCATAATTTATTGAAAAAATATCTGAGCTCAAGTTCAAGTACATTGGATCTTATCCCTCTAATAAAAATTCTCAATTAACAAGATTGTCTAGGCAATCACTAACTTTACTCCAACCGATGATAGAGAAAAACAATGGATCAACATTGCTCGATTGGACAACAAATTACAAGTTTTGCTGATTCTTTGGGAAAAAAATCAAATTACTTTTTTCTAATAAAAATATAGGCAAATGACTCCACCAAACTTACAAAAAAATTAAAAATTTTGCGGATTTTTCGCAATGAGTGTCACCCTTTTCATTTTAGACTTAAGATGGTTGACCGATAAGAGAAACCAGTAAATTAATGAAATTTCTTTTTTTTAAAAATCATGGAAAATGTTTGGACGTTTTGTAATCGACCCCTTCAAAATTTTCTGTAAAAAAAATTAGCTATAGTTTAGATGCTATTAAGTGCGATTGTTCTAATAATTTTATCCACAACGTGAGAAGAAACACCAGTAGGTGTAGCTAGAATTTCAAGTACAGTCGGTCTTATTTCACTTTCTCTAACGCTAAGACTAAAATAAAAACTACCGAATAATTGTTCCTAGTTGATCTGGAAAACCACATGTTTTTTTTGGTTGGTTCACAATTGGCACATTTGAACCAATTTTTGATATATTTTTAAAACTTTCATCAACATTATCACTCTCTTTATAATCAAATGCATGAAAAAGACCTTAAACTCTTACAAAGATTAAGTTAACAAATATGTCTCGGATCTCAATTAAAAGAGCGTTATCAAGATTCCTTATCTATTTCATATGGTCATTTACTTATTATTTTAAATTTAAAAACAGTTAATCAACTTGGATGTTGTTCCAAAAGTTACTCAGTTCAAACAAATCCTTGTTTACTAGCTTATATAGAGATAAATTTTTCGGACAATGAGTATACAATACGTCTCTATTCTTCAATTTTTTTCCAAAAAGTTTCCTAAGACAACTCAAAAAGGATACATTTTGAAATATCCAAGAGATTTCAGTCATCGTTTGGAACAAATTTTAATTCCGTACTTAATTTATTAATCACCTATTACGCTTCCTCAAAAAACAAAATTAATACAAAAGCAGCAAAAAGAGGAGGTTGTACCAAAAAATTCTATTCACAGTGCTGTAAACGCAAGGTTGAAATTAGGTAACAATAAGCATATTGTTGATTTGTCTATTAGTTGTCCTAGAATTAGAGTGAACCAGTCAATCAAGATGATACTGAATTATCGAGGTACAAAAAAGTCTACTTTAGACTTTGTGTGTGCACTAAAGTGAAAGGTTTCAAATTTTTTAAACCAAATTGAGGCAATTCAAATTAAATTTGAATTGTTATCAAGAAGATTGCTAAATCAGAAGTCAGAAGAACTTGAATAACTGTCAAAATCTATAAAGAATTAAAAGATTGTTTTCTCCAGGTTCTTTCAAAAACTTGAAGAAAATGAAGTTTCAAAAAAGAAAGTAAAACTATTCTTAGAAAACAAGTCAACTCATCCAAAAATTTGGTTCAACATGAGACAATTTTGACTTTTGAAATTTTAACATTTAAATCTGGTGTATGGATTGTTATTTTGCAGACAAGTTGGCAAGTTTAAATAATGAAGACAGACTTTTCCAAATATCCTTAGCAAGCTTTCAAACAACTTTTCTCGGAAAAACACTCCCAAAGTTTGTGGGTCATTAAAAAACAGAAAATGGAGGAATTCGAAAAAAATTTAAGGAGAAGAACATTCACATTAATTCAACAATGAATGGAACAAAAACTGCATTTGCAGAAAGGGCTATTGAATCATATAGCCAACCAAGTTACTGCTACATAGAAGATTATGGTGAAAAACAATTCAGAAATAACCTCAACTTGTGTCTAAAAAGAATTGTCGCGTTATTAGATTTATTGGAAAAGTTTATCAAACATATGAAACATAAACGCAAAGTTTGAGATAGATTGAGAACATCAAAAAACAAGGTTCATTTTTGAAAAAAATAAAAAAAAAATTTGAAATTTTTGCAATATATACACAAAAATCTAGGACAGAAAATATCAAAGATCTTAAAAAGCAAAAGTTCCTAGAAAATTTGCTGAAAACGTCAGGGAAATGTTCAGATTAGTGGCAAAACAATTTTTTTTCAACTTTCATTGGTCATTAGCTGTAGATTTTCCCACTGTCAAGCTAGTTTTTAAAGCTTCTTTTGATTATTATCCGAGTAGCAGTCTTACTTTCTTTTTAAAAGTGCTCCAACTGAACAAACAAATCTTAGATGTGAAGAGGAGGTTGCTAATTATGAATTGTTAAAACCTTCACTATACCAAATTGCTATTGAAGGAAGGGTTTACTCTAATCGATATGAGAGAAAGCTCTGATGAAAAAAATTACCCGATACAATTTGAACCTGATATTTTATCCAATTTTTTTTTATATAATTGTAGCCACAAAAAAGAAACATCGAAAAATTTTAAGTGCACAAAAATTCGAATAGAACGGAATTTATATTTCAGTAGATGAGGTTACACAAAAGAAAACCGTTCTTTACCTGAGAATCAACATTTTTTGAGTCACGCCTTTGTTTGTGACTTAGAACAAAATCATAGAGATGCTATAATGAGTGGAAAAGGACCGGTTATTTTCAGCAGCCTCACGATATTCTAAGAAAACATTTCCTGAGGATATATAGTGACTTTATAGAGTGTAGAAAAGTAGGTGATATAAAAACCCCTACACTACGTTGTATTCCCTTCATTTACAAAGTATAAAAAATGGAGGCATAAAATCTACAGGACAGTACGTGAATTATCAGTCCTTTTCAAATCTACGATTGAAAATTTGTTTGAAAAACTCTTTTCATAGCAAGAAAGTAGAACAAACACATACTGCAGGTTCTACAAAAAAAAAAAGACTATTAAGGAGATACAAAAAATACTACTGTTCTCTTGTTCTGCAAAATGTCGGATAGTTATCAGCCAAACTTCAGCCAACTTCCAGTTTTTGGTGGACACCCAAGGGAGCGTGGGAGATGTTTTGATGCTCTTGCTCAAATTATTGTGACAACTGCAATCCCCATTCATTCAGAAATAAATAGTCCCAGCTGCAAAAAAAAAACGGAGCAGGCAAATTTGCAGCTCCAGAGATTGGAAAAGTTGTTGATAGACATAATCAAAGCTCAAAAATTTTCCAAAGAGGCTAGAACAAAAACAGTTTGAAATCAGAGGGGTTTTGGAAAAAAATTTTGACAATCAGAAAAACAATTTTAAAATAAAGTTAGCAGTTTCGGTACGGGACTTTTACAAAGTTTTTGGAGTATTTGGATAAAATCAAAAATTTCAAAATAATTTTCTCATCTGACACGCAAGAAGTGTTTCCCAGAATTTTTCTAGATGAAAGCAATATTGAGTTCAAAATTTAGGTGGACCGTAACTTCTTTTTGGATATGCTTAATAGTTAAATTAATAGGAGTAGTAATAGTAGTAGTAGTAGTAGTAGTAGTAGTAGTAGTAGTAGTAGTCTTAATAGTAGTAGTAGTAGTAGTAGTAGTAGTAGTAGTAGTAGTAGTCGTAATAGTAGTAATAGTAGTAGTAGTAGTAGTAGTAGTAGTAGTAGTAGTAGTAGTAGTAGTAGTAGTAGTAGTAGTAGTATTAGTAGTAGTAGTAGGAGTAGTAGTAGTAGTAGTAGTAGTAGTAGTAGTAGTAGTAGTAGTAGTAGTATTAAAGGCTTAAGAACAGTTGTCCAAAATTTAACCCCTCAGTTTGCAGTTGTCCAAAAATTGAGTTTTTTCAGGTTGTTGCAGGTACCACAAGTGCATAGCACTTTCTATGTGCATTAGTAAACCTCGTGTAATTTTTCTCGAAAGAGCGCTTGATATAGCCTTGTGATTGTATTTTTGTCCTTTACCCCATCTAATTTACACTTCTCTGTACTATGCTCAGCAATGTCGTCAGAACTCAGTTTGATGTCGTGTTGAACACCCACAACTGGATATTGCAGGCATATCATCAGTTATGTAGTTTCCTTGTAGCACAGAAATATAGTTTAAGACATCATGCAGTTCCATCTCCATGGATAGCGGTAGAATTTTGTACGAAGCAGTCTCGCTTTGTGGTCGATGCAGCAGTTTCATATCCTTGAAAAAAAAATTTATGTCGGCATTTGAGGGTTATGATAGTATAGGGACAACATATCCCAAATGAGCTTTGAGTTTTGTTTTCATAGTTGCTTTTTTGAATGTGTTTCTCATCGAGAAGTACTAAGATTTTCAACCCTTGAGAGTTCGCCTGCTGCATTGTTTGCTCCATGATAGGTTGCAGGACATCAAGACCCCCAGGTCCTTTAGAACATTTACACTTTTTGTTTGACTGTTTTTATCGTTGGCCTACGCCGTAGCTTTATTAGGTTTAATTTTGGTTTAACTCTTTTTCCGTCACTTGCATGAAGTCAGGTCATGAAATTTTATAGTTGTGGGAAGTACTTTTGCCTTCTTGTAAAAATAATTTCGAGAAGAACACATTGATGAGTTCAGACTCCTGCTGGTCATTACATGCTGTTTTTTTATTGTAATTTTTGTCCTTTACGTACATTTGGTCTGGGAATGGCTCATTCTTTTGTAAAAACCTGAGGTACTCCTGTAGCGAAGAGATTCTTCTGCTAGCGAGTTTTTCTTTTCGTATATGGTTTGGTCGTGCAAGTTTTTTTTCCATCCTCTTTATTCTAACATGAAGCCTCAGTTTTTGAAAAATTGTTATTCTTTCTAAGCAAAATTCAACTTTGTTTCGTCATGTGGGAGGTTTTGGGGACAGATCCAGGGTGGCAGTTTGGATCGGTGAGCTGTTTCTGACAGTATATTTTTGTCAATTTGTCTTCCAAGCCATGAGTCCCATTGTTTTACCAATTTGTTCTTATTGCTATAACAGTACAGAAAGGCCGGTCGGATATGCATTCATTGAAGACTTTCCAGTCAGCTTTTTTGGTGGCGCATTTTTTTGGTAGGTGGTAAGGAGGTTTTGAAAATGAAATTAGGGTTTGAAATTAGGGTTTGAAATTAGAAAGAGAGCACTGTTCTGCAGGCGTGATTGTAGGAAAGTTTTATCCCAGGGATCGAGTATGTAGTTTCCAGATTATTTTTGTTGTTTGAGTGTTCCACAATGTCTGTTTCTTGAGTCAGTGAAACATCCAAAGATTTACCTTTTCGGCTTGGCAGTAAGTAGTAGATGTTGGAGGTTAAGTGGGGGGGGGGGCATGGAAGACCCTATGTATTAAGATACGTTATAGACTTCGGGTCTTCCATGCTATGTATTAAGATTGGGTATAGAGTCTACAATGTATTAAGATAGGGAATCCTGATGGTAAGGTTTCAGTGTGATGGTAAGATAAAGAAAAACGTAATTTTTTTGGTTTTTGTGTGGAAATGTTTATTTTTTTCGCAAAGTTTTTGGCGCGCGTTATCTATTTGGGAACAGTTAATAGTTAATTACGTGTAGAATAAAGGTTATGTATTTAGTTTTTTGGTGCATGGTAAGTCAATGGTAAGAGTTTTTGGGTAAATTTTTATGAAAAAATTTTCAAAAAAACTTCAAAAAACGATAAGGTTAGCTATTATTTGACCTAATTTATTAAATAATCTTACTTTCTATCTAATTGAAACGATAACTTTACTTTCTATCTAATTGAAACAATGCTAAACCTACAGAGACTTCGAAAAAAGGCAAGTTTCCGAGAAAAAAGTTTAAATTACAAAGAAAGTATATAAATCACTGCATTGTATAACAAGTTTACCGCATCATTTTACATTTTAACATCATAAAGCCAATATAATACAACATCATGAATAAGTTTACTTGACCAGATCAGTTCTTATAAGTTCAGAGGTTTTGTATGAATTCCATCATCTTGTACTTGTCTTTTTGGATAAAAATAGCTTAGTCCTTTCTTTGTCTGTTCATATGTGGCCACCATATGATTTATAGTTCTGAATCCTCTGTTAGTAGATGTAAGATTAATTGCTTGATCAAGCACTCTCCTATACTTTGCTAAAGGTCCATCTCCAGAGTCTTCTAGAACCCGCTTATTCAATCCTTTGCTGCTAAATTTGAATTTGTCTGACTTGTTGTCATAGCAGCAATATGTCTTACTACATAAACAGAGCATTTCTGTGCACCTAAATTCTTCTTTGAAAAGTCCCGGCTCCCGCTTATCATGTTTTTTATGGATACTAAAACAGGTTCGAGGAAAGAAATTGGATTTTGCATCCGCCTTGAAGGAATCTCTGCAATCACTCTCCCTCATTTTTTCCCAAGCAGCTCTCTTATCTGGTTGGATGCAATCGTACAAATTTTCTTCTGCAAGTGCCAAGTAAAGTGAGTCTGTGTCCATCTCCAACTCTTCAAATTTATTTACATCACAGAACTTGTCAAAGAAGTTGTAGTAGAGTTCCAACATTCTCAGCTTTGCATACTGAAGTATGAAAAAACCAACGATGATGGGTTCTCTGTGCTCAATGGTTGACTTCAATAACTCCACCTCATATAAGTCCTTCTCAACTGTGTTAAGTCTCTTAAACAGTGGTTCATTGATTGCCTTGTGAGTTTTTCATCGTTCAGATACTTCGTGATTGTATGCCTGGATCTGTCCATGATCTGATATCCATAGGAGGAATTGCCCAAGAGCTTCATTGTTTCTGCTACAACTCCTGATAGAGGGTTTTCATCTCCTTCTCTTCTTGCATCAACCACTGACTGAACGAAATTATTAAAGCATTTCCGAGGAGAATATTCAACAAAACGATAAATTTTGGTGCATTGCAAACCAAATTCCACTTAAAAGTTGAAGCGAGGAGTTATAACTGTTCCATTTTCTAGCTTGAAGCTAGATATAAGCATTCTCTGTGGATGTTTCAACATTTCATTTTCAATAGCATAATTCTTCATATAGTCACCAATATCGTTTTTTCCAAGCTCAGTGTTTTTGAAAATTGGAGGAAAATTCGCAAATTTCGATTTCAGTTCATCTGGAACAACTAAGTCGCACTGAACGTAGCCAAAAAGAGATCCATCTTTTATTTTTGCTAGAAGTGAGTCTGTAGAAAGAGATCGTTTATAGGGAAAGTGGGTTCTGACGTGATTTTTGATCTTTTCATCGGTTTTGAAACTTTCCCACCAGTCACACTCCCACATTTCTTCCACTTTGTATCCTTTCTCTTTAATGTATTCTCGTCGCATATCATCCATTTCTCTCTTCTTGTTTCCTCGCTCAATATCCTGTTCCGTTAAGGAGGGACGAGTTTCTTGACAAGAACAAAAGTGATAGTACCAACCCATTGCCTCGAATACTGTTTTACAGTGATTACAATAACCGTCCACATTAAAACAGTCAATTTTCTTCTGTTTTCCAGATGTAAAAAAGCTCTCAATTTTACATTCTGGTCTTGATTCTTGATAGAAAGACATGACCATATTCTCAAAGTTGCCAGTTTGATTATGTCTAGCCTTGAATTTCTGCATATCAGTGTCAAACTCCCATCTCGTATACAGTCCTGTTGGCATATCTTGACACATTGAATAGGGGTAAAGCTGGCTCGCATCAATTCCAACGATTGACTTACAAATATTTGATGAATCTCTGATAAAGGTTTCGTCTACAACAGCTTTTCGAGTAAACACAATCAAAGGTCCACCGGTCATGTCTTCTCGTATTTTTTCACACAAATCTTTATCACTTTCGCAAAATGGATAAAACTTGTAATTTGTAGATTTGTGTAGACATATGTTTGCAAGATTTGGACGTGTACATCCAAGTTTCAACATATCTATCCTTTTGTTATGATAAAATTGGATCATTTTTTGCATTGCTTCCAGGGTTGGAACTACATCTTTGTTGTTGTACCACTGCAAAAAGTCTTTGAAAACAGTCATTCCCTTTTTCTGCCAAGTTTGTTGTAAGTAACTGTAATTATCTAGTCCAGATGGGGGTACAGTCTTGATTTGAAGCTTTTTCAGTGCTTGCTGTTCATCAAGTCCACTCTTCCTCAGTTTTTCATAATCAGTAAAGTCTTTGTCTAGAGGATTGTTGTTTCTAAGTTTACTGAAAAATGCTTCATATGGGGGCAGTCCTGGAAAATCAAGTTTGTCAGGGTTGTCAAACCACTCATAAGGAAAGAATCCTTTTGTTTCACTAGCTTTATAAGCTTTGAGAAATGAGTCCAGAGTTGTTGCTCCACCCAGAAATTTCATAATGTCAAGAAATTGTACATCTCCAAACTTGAAAGATATAAAATCATTTGCTTTTTTGATGACGGATGTTTCTTGTTCTTTATCGCGAATCAAATAGGGGATTAGGTAGGACTTGATCAAATTCAAATCATATCTACCGCTGTTAAATCCAAAAACAGGTAAAGTATTTATATATCTCTCCAGATGTTGTTTCAAATCGATGAGTTGATTTTTCTGAATTCGCAAAAATTGTGTTGACATATCTGCTTCTTCCGAATCTTCAATGCATTCGTCTTCGTACTCGAATTTGTTACTTGAATAATTTTTACCACGTTCGTTTAGCTGATCAAAGATCTTCTTCATTCTTTCATTGACAGCTACTTCAATATCTTGAAATTTTTTTCTCATTTCTAGCATACTTTGTTCAGCCAACAGCTCGAGGTTGGATACAAAATCAATTATCAAGTTCTGTGGATCCTTGTTGTACAAGAAGATGGGTT